GTACTGTACGCTGTATTACGGTAGAATCATTCGTAATTCAGAACAAGTCGAACAAAACGAAATGACAAAATTGGTCTAACAGTTGCGATGGTCATGTGAACTAAGTCGGCGCCAGCCACCGTTGGCGGACTCATTTTTCAAAAGGAAGAAAACTTCGTGAACTATCTGGGTAAGTTTTTCGATTGACCCCAGGTGGCTGGTGATGGACTGCACAGCTGTCTGTAACCTACTGAAGCTCGACTATGGATCTGACAATTAGAGCATGGAATTCTAAACTCAGAAACTTTCTTGTACAGATTTTATAGTTTCCAAATATCGACAGTGATCGATTTTAAAACAAGCGTTGCGACATACCAACCTCTTTGATAGCAGTCTGAACGACAATATCCGTAGCAATCATTACTTCTGATACAGATTGTTCTATTCTATCTATAACACGAAAACGTTGGAGGGAGTCAGCAATCCACAGACACTTACTCCACTCACCATTATAACGAAGCAAGTTCCTGGATGAAAATGTGACGGACGACCTGTTACGAGTGATGTTGATGAAGATCTGAATTCGAGTGAGAAATTAATTTTTTTTGCGATCCCTGGTTTGTTCATCTGAATCGTTCAAATCTAGAGAAATTTTACCGGAGGCAAGGTAACGGTACTTGGGTTCCCACACACCAACACATAATGAAACCCTCGAGAGGCGGAATAAGCTAATCGAGTGTTCTGCTCTGGGAGATGTTCGGACAGTTCTTTTTCTGAAGAATTCTTCATTATAGAATTCTTCGTTATAAAAATTGTTATCGAATCAGGGTAGAAGAGATTTCAAAGGTAGAATTTTCGCAAAGAAATTACTGAGAACAGCTTGCCTTGGGACTGAATATCACGAAGGAGTTCTTCGTATGCTCGCCTGGCAACATCCAGATTGACAGAGATACCTTCCTAAAACGACATATACTAAGTTAGATAGTAATCAGGGAAATTAGTGACAACAGAGTTGACCTTGATGGCATAACACTTCCTGTGTCGCACATTGAGAGAACTTTTCTTGCTGCTGAACATGGCCTCATCTTGAAACCGATCGTACAGTATTTTTTGAATCGTATCGATTCTTTCATCAGTCAGCAACTGAATAAGATCACCATCCAGCAATTATTATGTAAGGAGATAAGGCTCATCATTGTCATCCTACCTCATTTTTCTTTTTCAACAAGTTACACTTGAAATTCTTCATCAGCTGTTGAAGCGGCCTTACAATGTACAGCACTTGCTTCAAGCGAAGCAACTAAAATGCATGATAGCTTCCTTCCTTCATAGTAACTATCTGTAGCCTTGAATGCTGAAGCGAGTTCTAAGGATCTGTAGAGTACCTGAGTCAAATTGAAGTCGGCACTTTGAACAGTAGGCTCCCTAGGGGATCCTATGAACACGTTGAATAAGTTACCCAAATCACAAGTAGAACCCAGAACTTGACGTAATTTCTCAACAAGCTGTAAAATTATGATGAAGTTCTAATTCACCAATTCTGACAATTTAATTAAAAACTTTATTACAGAAACCTACATGTGGATTATCAGCAAGTTCCTCAACAGCGTCAAGTCTTTCTTCAATGACCACTTGATCGCCAGAAGGCTGGAGGAGATTGGAGCGTAGAAGGCGTGCACCTCCAGCGGTTTGAGTCTCATCGACGATGGCGAGTAGTGATTTCCGCTCCTGTATCCAGCACAGTGAACACAGTAAGACAATTAACACCAGAAAACATATTGAATGAATGAAACAGAAGCCCTTATACCAACCTTTCTAGGAAAATTACTGTCTATTTCGAGATTTTTCCATGAACCAACGTCTGAAAAAAATCACTTGGGCCGCTGCCGAATGGAAGAAGACCTGTTTTAGAAGGCTCTAGAATAACATACCTAAAAGACACATCCTCTCAATGTCGCGATAAACAAAATGCAGCGTCTTTGAGGCAAACACAATGTTTTGGATATGCTCCACATACTTGATCAGAGCAGAACAGCTCTGCATACAAAACTGCCTAAACCACAAACTATACTGAAACAAAGCGGATGCAAAGAACAGAGCGCCTTCAAAAAGAAAAACACATTACCTTAAAACAGAAAAATGCAATGAGAAATAAACTCGTCGCTATGTCTATATCAGAAAACAGACGGTACTCTACACCAAAGAACCGTGTAATTCAAAAGAAGAGAGAACGCACCAAAATTTATCCCCTTCAAAAAATAAGTAGCCGAAAAATCTCACTAAAGGTCTCTATCTCCATCTCAAGTGGTAACCTCTGCTGAAGTAGCTACTCCATCGAAGATTTGATAATTAAAGTAACAGATAAATATTTACTTCTATATATGTTCTGAAAACCCTCTTTCATTTTTAAATATGAAGAATCGTTTGGTGATTTTTCCCCAAAGAACAATAAAAACACGAAAAAAAAACTCGTCCGCAAATTCTCCTGTAAGGTTCTAGCTGAGCTAGATTCAGTTAAGGATAAAAAATTACTTCTGGAGCACAACACTGTCGCAGTTTGATATTTCTGCATTTGCTAGTTGCGCCACCAACTCGGCACCACGTTGATGGTTGAAAAACCTAAAGTAAAGAATTAAAAGAAAACTCTTTCTGAAGACCATAGCGACATACACGTACCTTCTGTGAACGCTGGTAACAGTGGCGTTTGGCAGAGAGGAACGAATCATTTCAATCATGACAGCATTAGTAGACTTTTCGTTGAAACTTTCAGCGACAATAATCTGTAAATGTCTTCCAATGAAAGCAGTTCAACAGAATCAACCAGTTTCTGTAGACCATAGTGAGTAAGCCAGCGTCCAGATTATTTATTACAAGAATACGCTATCAGCCGTTAACTGCCCAATTATGGCTACGGCGCGTACATATGCAGAACGTTGAAAATGTTAAAAAATAAAAGTCAATAAAGAAATGTAAAATAAAGGGACATAGTTTCGTATACCATTTGTCTCACCTGAAGCCGTTTAGTGAAACTACAGTCGACCACCAGCCAGCTCATACATCAAGTGATTACGTGCAGCCAGGTACACATGCTCGGATGCAAACGGAGGCAATGCTGCCAGCTTTGCTGCACTAATTCCTGGCATGCTTTAAGCTTGCATACGCTCCCTGAGTGTAACCTCGGCGGAGCTATCCCAGGAGCTCGTTGATAGCTATCTACACGCTCCATATCCAATGTTATTTAGGGGCCTAGTCTGCGATTTCACGAGGTTAGCCGCCGTCGCCCACACACGTCAGATAG